TTGCTCACACCACTACTGAATACACAGAGCCATAAATCACCACTACAGTAATTCAGCAATTTACTAACCACATACAAGCCCTCTTGAGGCTGCTCAATAAGGGTGAGCATCAAAAGCATCACCACACAACCATCTCTGTCCCACATGGTACAGGTCTGTCTGGCCCTTTATTTTTTAAAGGTCACTACCAATCCAAAGACATCAACTACAACCACTACAGTAACCCTTACACCATTCAGTCACTGTAAACACAGCCTGTTCTTGGGCCTTTTGCCGAGAACCAAGGCTACATATAACCTAGTTCTTTAAGTTCTTATCAGTCCGAGCAGATTTTTGAGGGTATTCCAACCCAGAAACACCAACAACACAAAAAAAAAGGATAACCAACCTTGATGGAAAGCTTCAGTCGACCATCCACTTATTTCTAGAGTTATTCTCTTGAAAGGCAATCAAGTTATGAGCAGAGAAAGAGAGGCCGAAATGTTCTCAGACCTATGTCGAGTTTGTGTTCTCCATTTGCAGTCCAGAGACAAGGAAAAGAAGTCACGAACAAAAAGGAGCAGCATTCACGAGCAAAGATTTAAAGAGCAACATCCTGCTCTGATACCATGTTATCTCAGTGGCTTCAGCAGTTCGAACCAGAGGAAGAAGAAGAAGAAGAAAAGGAACAATCGAATCTGATAGCTTAAACCCTATCAGTCGACCCTAATATGAATTAGCCTCTAATTAGTTGTACAAAGACTAAACTGCCCCCCCACTTAAGTATGGGACAGGAAGTCTCTATTAAAACTTCCACATAAGCACATAACTTAACAGAAATAAAATGACTAATCTACCCTTATTTGGCTAGCTCTAACAAGATGCATAGTGTGAATGAAACACCACAAATCCTTTTACCCCAAGTTGTTTTCAATTGTGCAGAAAAAGGATAAATTGATGGATTAAAACCATGAAATGGTGGAAAACAAGATAGTGTGGGACCCTAAATTCCATAGAAATCTCGAAGGATGTGAGTTAGTGGAGGTGAAAGAGTTGCTGCCAAAGCTGTTTAATTGCCTCCCAGGAATTGATGAACCAGAACAAGTTTGGAAGTAGGAGAAATCTGGCAATTTTATTGTAAAATCCCCTGTAAAACAGTTCATACATCAAAAAAAAGCCACTTCCCACACAAAATTTCCAGGGGTAACCAGTACCATCAATGATACCTTTTTATGATTTGGACATCTGTGCCAGAGAAAATATTTAACAAAAGATAAGCTCATCAAGAGGGGGTCGGAAGTCCCTAATCCAGGTTGTGTATTTTGTAATCATGAAATGGAAATATCTGATCACCTTCTATCTCATCCTAAAATGTTAATTGGTGTTTTCCAAAATTAGTGATGGAGAGTTATTTTCAGGACCAGTGGGTGTTGGTGATTCTGTAAGGGCAGATATACTAGCAGCGGTACAAGGTATACAGATGGCCAGTCAACTTGGAGTGAATAATTTGATAGTAGAAGGGGATTCCAAGGTAGYAGTGGGCYGGTTGACAAGTCCAGARACAGCTTGTTGGGGCTACAGGGATCTGTTAAAGAAAGATAAATGCCTGACGAGAAATATTTCAGTCAGGCTTCAGTGGGTCAGCAGCAGATCAGCAAATGCAATGGCTGATTCTCTGGCCAAGCAAGGGGTGTCAAGGGGAGATCTGTTTTGGGCCACTTTGCAACTGTGTATCTGGCTTATGTATGTTTAGTGTTTATGGTTCAGTCCTAGGGGGAGGTAACACCTCGTGCCTCCTCCTAGGCTTACTGTACTGCTGTTATTTGAATTAATAAAACTACTTTCCTTTATCAAAAAAAAATAGTGATGGAGGTCTCAAATGTTGGCATCTCCAGGGACTGAATAGAAAAGATAAAATTGTTTGTACCTCGTGCCTCCTCCTAGGCTTACTGTACTGCTGTTATTTGAATTAATAAAACTACTTTCCTTTATCAAAAAAAATAGTGGAGGTCTCAAATGTTGGCATCTCCAGGGACTGAATATAAAAGATAAAATTGTTTGAATACCTTACAAACAGCAGTAATTTGGTAAACTTGGAGGGAAAGGAATTACAAGATATTTGAAGGTTAATATGCCTAGGAAGATAAAGTTTTCAGAAGAACTGCAGCTACAGAAAACTTTTGGTTTTTGGTAGTTAAGGGGTTTAACATCGTCCCTTTTCATAGATGCTTTGTGAAGGAAATATTTCTATATGAATGAATTATCCTTAGCCTGGTTCCTTCTTTTAAAGAAACTGTGTTACTAATATGCAGCTTCACATTGTATTTTGGTTCAGAGGGAACCACATATGGTAATTTRYTTCGAACTTCTATTAATACAACAAAGTTTTCCTACCTTACAATTAAAAAAAAAGGAAACTGTCACTCAATCTCTCTATTAGTTAGGGCTGGTTACACAAACCTAAATCATCATTAGAGCCAATCTACATACCCTACAACCACCCCAAGCATATACCAAATCCCAAAGTTACCTAGGAGGTCAACCTCATTTCCCATGCAACATTATCATTTTTCCCTTTTTCGAGAATTTGTTAAATCCTAAAAGCTCATAGAGCACTTCTAAGCATACAATTTTTTCATGTATGCCTTACAAATCATCTTATAGCACAGATATTCAACATTGTGTCATTTCAAGCAGATATCAGTACAGATGGATCTCACACAGAATGTTACATAAAAGTGGTATAAGCTGATCAGTAAAGAATACAAGAAAATACAACTTGTCTGTTTATCATTTTGAAATTCAAAACATCAATAACAAAAATTACATTTGAATATATCTCAGTAAAGAGATGATGTATATCTAAATGACCCATTCAGAAAATCTTTTCCACAAGAAAGTTGGGTGTGTGCCCACATGAGCGCACACACACACACACACAAATGCACGAGAGAGAGAGAGAGAGAGAGAGACCTCATATCCAGAATAGCCTGAGTAATTTGGAGCATAGGAAGGTGGAAGTACTGATCCTGCAGCAATGTCATAAAGATATCAGATTCCATCAGAAGACTTCAGTTTTTTCCAACTGTCCTATTAAGTAATTGCTTTAGGTGCAATACAATATTTATTCATTTCTAGTAAATCAGTGGCATGTAAGCTAAAATAAAAAAATCATAACCCAAAATAAGTCTAACATGTTAAGAACAAACAAGAGCACCAGAAATATTCCACTGAAACACTAATAAACACCACTTTTTTGTGGACACAAGAACAGTAGGGGAAAAGTGAGAAACAATAAAAATACCATCCAAAGGACAAAAGTGACTAAAGATTTTTTTCCCTTTTTCTAATTTAGGTTGTGTTTGGCATTCCAGAAGTAAGGCCTCTCCGCTAATTCAGATAGAATAAGGAAAAAAGGCAGATTATGGTCATTAATCATTTTATATACTTGAGGTCTCTATCTGTATATGTGAAAAAAAAATGTTATTTTAGCAGGTAAAGTACAAGGAGACAAGAGCTCCTCAGTGATTTAAAAGGCGGCCCAAAGATGCACATAGGCACAAAGGCGCACGCCTGGTGCGCCTAGGCATGCGCCAAGAACCCCCTATTTGCTAATGTTGTTCATTCATTCATTCCAAAAAAATATCTTCTTAAAAGGCAATTAAAGTTATAAAATCATTATTTTTATGTGAGAAATAAGAATTTAAGACCCTAACATGGACTTGTTCGGACTTGCCTCAAGGGACGTGGTACAAAGGTGACTCATAGAATCAAGAATGCAATATGTTTTACATCACATTAGCCACTTGAAGTAATGCAATTGACGAAAAAAAAGATTATAGGTTTTACATGCTTGAAAATGCTTTATATGTTTGCTTTTATTTTTAAATTTCCATTTGAATATATTTTACATGTTATTACCATTTTCCAAAAAAAAATGTTTATGTATTTTAATTTTAGATAATAGGTTTTTTAAAACATTTATTTTAAAATTTAAGTTTATATTTTTTATTAACATTATGTTTAATATTTTTTGCATTTTTTAGTTTTTTTTATTTTGACTTTTTTTAGCATTTTTTGTAATTTTGCACCTTGCTTCAAAAAAGTGCGCACCTCGCCTTGCGCCTCAAGCGCAAATTGGCCCTTGCGCTTTTAAAATACTGAAGCTCCTTACGGACTAATATCATGGAACTTCTTCTCGAGACTGAAGTTTGGAAGTACATGTGCAAATTGTAACTTTGATAAAACTCAGAAAATACCCATAACACCCTCTAGAATGCAAACCAACTTTTTATGGCCATTGGCCCCTTGTAAATTATTTTAATACACCTCAGCTACCCTTTTACAACCTTAAAATGACCAAAGTATCCCTTTACCTTTTAAGAACTGATTTCTACTCACAGTTATAACCATAATCATTTCAACTTCGCTAGCATGTAAATTTCAAAGGAGTAGGTATGGATGTGCCTACTGAACGTTTTTTTGAAACAGGTAATGTGAAATTTTCATTAGAGACAAAAACATGCACAACAAGGAACTGTACACAGGGATTTTACAAAAACTGCAACCAGCAGAACTATACCCCCAAACCCTAATATACAAAAAGATTCACAACAGCAAAAAAGGAACTAAAATTCCTGTCCTTAAATACATTGTTTACTGCTAACCAAGAAAATATTTTTCCCATAACTTTCTGAAACACTGTGTCTGAAGAGATGTGTTGGTTCTTGAAGATCCTTGCATTCCTCTCCTGCCAGATGCACCAGAAAACTGCAGCACAAGTCAGGTTCCAAGCCAACTTTCCCTCTTTTAGTGAGGCCTTTGACTCTCCAACTCTTCACAAAATCGGCTACTGATTCAGGGCAACAACTGTTCACCTCATACAAGTTCCTGACCTTATTCCAAACCTCATAGGACAAACCACGGTGAAGTAGCAGATGGTTGACTGACTCGGTATGACTGACAAATCATACAAACAGTTGTGTCCAGCAGCATACCCTTCCTTTCTTTTTTTTCTATTTTTGATAAATGAGCAGCATACTGCATACCCTTTTTTCCAGATTATCCCTAGTTAAAATCCTGTTCAAGTAGGCTTTCTAGACAAAAAACGCCACCTTTGTGGGCACACCCTTACACCACACAGTATTAACTGGGATTGGCTCATCCTCTGATCTGGAAAAATAGATGTAAAAGGATCTAACAGAGAAGACCCCCAACTTCTCCCACTTCCAAACTCTTCTATCCTCTATCCCTGTTTCCACTGGAGTGCTATACAGCAGGTGCAGCAAATCTCCAAAACCGCTATCACCCTCCCACTTGGCTGCTATCACCCTCCTCCACAGACCACCTTGGATCTCACCAAATCTCCAAAACCGCTATCCCAGTAAAGCAGAATTGAGATCCTTTATTCTTCTCACACCCAAGCCCCCTTGAGATTTGGATTTACAAATCTTGGACCAGCCAAACAGCATGAATTTTTTCTTCTCTTCCCTCCCCATCCTCTCCACAGAAAATCTTGCATCTTCCCCTCTAAAGACTTAGCCATCCCACTAGGAATTGGATACAAAGAGAGCAAATACAAAGGGAGGGAGGATAGCACACTTCTCAGCAGAGTTAATTTACCTCCAATAGGATAAGTACTTGGACTTCCAAGAAGCCAAAACGCTTGTCTAATAACTCCACAATAGGCTCCAAAATTGATTTGGAATTGCACCTATCACCTAGAGGCATCCCCAGATATTTCAAAGGAAGTTTACCTCTTTTACACCCCTATTCCTCCGCCCACCTCTCAATCTCTGGCACTTCTCCCACCACACCCAATTCACTTTTGTGCATGTTTACATTAAGGCCTGACACAACCTCAAACCATTGCAGCACTGCCATTACATAACCAAGCTGTTCGGCTGAAGCATCACAAAATATGAGTGTCATCTGCAAACTGCAACAAAGAAACCTCCACCCTTTCAGCTCCCACCTGAAATCCTTCTATAAAACCCCCTGTCGTGGCCCTTTCCATCAATCTACTTAAGAGCTTCAGTTACACAAATAAAAAGGAAGGGGGAGAGAGGGGGTCCCCTTGCCTTATGCCCCTAGAACTCCTGAAGCAACCACAAGACACTCCATTTACCAGGACTGAAAAAGGACTATTCACACAGACTTCCATTCAATTTCGCCATTTAGAGCCAAAATCCATTCTTCTTAGGATGGAGTCTAAGAACTGCCTTCACTAGCATAATGCCTAAAATCCTAAGTAGGGGCACAAGGTACTTCTCTGAACTCAACCCAACAGGGCCATATCCCAACTATATAGGGTTAACTGAGTGGGCAAGTAGCAGTCCAATATTAAACATTAACAGTTAGGCTATTTCTCTAAATATATATTCTGAGCAGTTAACTAGAGAAACATCATTTTTTTATCGAGGAGAAACTAACTTATCGATCTGGTGGATGTATTTAGCATTTTTCCTCCTTTTTCTAATAAAATTTTGGGTTAATTACTTAAAATACCCATGAACTATCTGGCAATACCTTAAAGCACCCCCAAGGTTTAAAAACCCACTTAAAGACCCCTAAAGTATGACACAATATGATATATACTACCCTTCCGTTAGTTCTGTTAGTTCCGTTAGTTGTCCATCACATCCCGCTTATATGTGACACCACATGACACTTTTAATTTTTCGAAAACCCAATTTCGCCCTCAGCAGTCACCACCAACCTTATCATATGTAGAACAAACCCAAATTTGTTTCTCAACATATCCACTGCATTTTCCGGATAAACAGACGCATGCCTTGCTCAATAGCAAATCAGTTGCTGACTTCGCAATCAATATCACCCAAGATCTTTTCAAGGTATTTTTCACTGGAAGAAAAAATGTCCATCGCATTTCAAATTCAATTATGCCTTAGTTGAAGAGGCTAAATTGTTGCTTGTACCAAACAAGACCCTTATGAGCTTCAATAGAGGCTCCATCTTCTCAATAGTAGTTGAAGGAGCTAAACTGTTGTTTGTACCAAACAAAAGCGGCAGCAACAACTTTTCTTGCAATCACTTAACAGAAATGGGTTTCATTTTTTGATGAATGGATTAGTAACATTATTATACAGTTTCTGCAAACAATATCTCTCTGATAAAAAACCAGAAAATACCCAAGTAACATTTATTTCTTTCAGCCTTCCTGCTTTAGCCTTTTATGCTATGTTTGGTTTGAAAGAAAAGATAGGGTGAGGAAGGAAAGGTAGGGAAACCTATACAAGATTTGTAAAAGTTTCTCTACCTTTCCCAACTTCTTTTTCAAACTAAACACAGCCTTAGGGCTTATTTTTCCCTCTTCAAAGAAAATGGGACTTGAAGAAAGAGAGGCTGAAGTTCTCTTCCACAAAAATCCACTTTTGAGGTTTGCACCTTTGGTAGGGGTGATCATTCTTAGTCCAACCCGGGCCTGTATCAAGCCCGGAAAATTCAGGCCCAGGCTTGGGCCTAATACTTCAAGCCCGGCCCGCAATATATATATGATCAGTGATTTAAAAGGCGCACCTAGGCACATTTTGGGGTATCCGCCTGGTACACCTTGCACCTCAGCCCGGGCGTGCGCTTTTTTGTTTTTTTTTTTTAGTCCAACAGCTAGGCCAGGGGCTCCGCTCACCGAAGCTCCGAGAACCCCCTATTTGCTAATGTTGTTCATTCATTCATTGCAATAAAATATCTTCTTAAAAGGCAATGGAAGTTATAAAATCATTATTTTTTATGTGAGAAATAAGAATTTCAGACCCTAACATAGACTTGTCCAGGCTTGCCTCGAGGGGCGTAGTACAAAGGTGACTCATAGAATCAAGAATGCAATATGTTTTACATCACATTAGCTACTTAAAGCAATGCAACTAAGGAAAAAAAGAGATCGTGGGTTTTACATGCTTGAAAATGCTTTATATATTTGCTTTTGTTTTTAAATTTTCATTTGAATATGCTTTACATGTTATGTTTATGTATTTTAATTTTAGATAATAGGTTTTTTAAAACATTTATTTTAAAATTTAAGTTTATATTTTTTATTAACATTATGTTTAATACTTTTTTGAATTTTTCTTGTTTTATTATTTTGGCTTTTTTAATTTTCTAACTTTTATATTTTTTAGTTTTTTTTTGGTAGTTTTGTGCCTTGCATAAAAAGGTGCACGCCTCGCCTTGCACCTCAGGCACAAATTGGCCCTTATGCTTTTAAAACACTGTATATGATAATATATATACTTATTTTTATATATGATAATATATATTATATTTTATATGTTATATGTTATATACAAACAAGTATATTTTATTTTATATTAAATGCTTACTATTTTATATAAAAATATAAAGTATAAAGGTTTTAAGTTTTATTTTAACATATAAATAAATATTTATGAATTAAAACATGTCAACACTTGAGTCAATTCAAGTATGAGAATTGTCCTCCTAAGCAAAGCCTTCATTCTCATTCCCTAAGCAATGTGGGACTCGGGAAAACACTCAATGGTTGCACTAACTAGTTAGTGTTGTTCCTAGTCTCACATTACTCAAGAATGGGAATGATAATGAAGGCCTTGCCTTCATCTATAATAGGATAGGTAACCAAAGCCAGATCAAGCCTAGCAATTAAATAAGGCTGATGCCTTTTTTTGGCTATAGCCCATAGGCTTAAAGCCTAGCCAAGATCAATTTAACTTTGGCTTGTGCAATTTTTTTTGTATTTATCACATTTACATGTTATTTAATTTAAAATTTTAAATAATTAAATTTTCATTATTTAATGTCATGGGCCAAAAGTCATTACTCATTACTCGTTAATTGATCAAAAAAAAGCCATTACTCATTAGGCCCGGAAAGCTCATAAGACCGGCCCAGGCCCATGTAGGGCCGAGCTTGGTCTTGCAATCTAGGCCCAAGGTATAGGCTGGGCCAGGCCTAGCTTATAGCCCTTATAATCGATGCTAAGCCTGGCCCATGATCACCCTTAACCTTTGGAAATCCTTTGAACCCAATTTCTTTGTCTGTGTTTTGGTTGGATTAATAGCTTTGCTCTCTATCACATGATTACCAAATGCCCTGATGTACTAACTGCCAAAAAACAAAAAAAAAAACTGGTCTGTTGTTCTGCTTTGTCTGAGATGAGTTGGAAGGGCAGATCAAACACTTAAAAAGCTTGATCCTTCAAAAGCATTCAAATGCAGTAATACATGTAGATCTGGTTGTGACTTGTGAAGACAACTATAGCTAATAGTTCTGAGTTCTGAGTTCTGAGTTCTGTTTCAGCCATTCAAATGTTCAAGATTTATTTAAATAGTAGAACCCTTTTTTTAAGCTACAACACAGCCCATTAAAAGGAAAAACTGCAAAACTTGATTTTTGAGTAAGGTGCACAATAGAGTTTATTGAGTAAAACGTGCAGAACCTTTAGATTAAATTGATTAACATGAAAAGCAAGAAAAGAGCTTTTCTTAACACTTTTAACATATTAGAATTAATTTAGCAGTGTCAACAGTGAGCAGCCGTAGCAGCACTATTCTCTTTAACTCTACTATTGTAATTGCAGGCAGTTTCCCAGCAGAGCTTTTCCTAACACTTCACATATTAGAGCACAAGACAAAACAGGTACTGAAATCTTAACTCTAGTGACTTTGAATACAATCACAAAGAACAAGGGGAAGAACAAGGAGGAAGAAAGATGAAGAGGAGAGAAAAGGAAAAGAGAATAAGAGGGGAGGAAGAGAAAAGGAGAGAAGGCATGTTTTGAAAATTTAAAGAACAGTCGAGGGTAAAAGAGTTTCTATCTAATTTAAAGGCAAGACTTAACGAAATTCGAATTTAAGAGGGGAGGAAGAGAAAAGGAGAGAAGGCATGTCTTTAAGTCAGTTTTTAAACCTCAGGGACACTTTAAGTACTTGTCAGATAGTTCAGGGGCAACTTAAGTAATTAACCCTAAAATTTTTCTTTTAGTATCAAAAAACAACTGATCATTTACATCTTTCGTAAACATATATAAAAGAACCTAAGATATTGCAAGGGAAAAACAAAACAAAAAAATGAAATATTCAATGGTAAAATGAGAACCTAAAAGGCATTAATAAAAAATAAAGAGTTCAACTATGAAACTGGAATAATTCATCAATAAAAAACTATGAAACTGGAAAGACATGATACTGGAAAAACTAACCAATCAACTGGCATCATAAAAGCAGTAATCTGTTATGTGGTTTTTTATCAAATTCATGTGGGGGTTTTGATTGGTCAAAGCTTAAAGCCCTTCCGATATCATGTCTTTCCGGCAACATTGTTCTTTCCAAAAACATATAGAAGCAAGATTAGCTTGATTCAGATATCCCACCTCCTCCATAAGCAGCACCACTGCTCCCCTGGGCAGAGTATCCAGCACCTCTGTTGACCATAAAAAGGCTTAGCACCAATAACCAAAAAACCAAGGAGGTGAAATCAAACCTGTGAAACCTGGATGAAACAAACCTTCTCATCCCATAACCATATTGATCCTGGCCTTGTTTATGATTAGCAGGTTCAACATATCCAGCATGAGGCTCCTAAAGAGTATTACCCATATAGTTAATCAACAAGCAACACACAGTTGCAAGACAATGAGGAGGAATCGAAACTAACCAAATCTGAGTAGTGCCCTTTAGATCCGGAAGCTGCTCCATAAGCATAACTCTGGTACCTGGATGCAGGTGCAAGATACCCCTGTGCATAGGAATTCCCATGTACAAAAGAAGCTGCCCCATAGTTTGGCCTTGCCTTCCCAAAACGAGATTTGCTTCTTTGGTTACCAAAACCAGTGGCTGGCCTACCATGCGTATTGCCTGCATATCCATGTAAAGAAAAAAATAAACTCACATGTAACAATACCTAGAAATGATGAACAGTCAAACACAATGTAAATTACTGAATTCGTTGTAGTAATAAAGTTTACAACTACCTCGTGCCTTCTTTGATGACCGCCCACTATAACCAGCATCAACCTCTCTCCTACTACGCTTCTCACCCTTTGCAGGTTTTCCCTTTCTCTGGCGGTTAGTTTCATCTGACCTGAAAGGCACCCCAGTGCTTTGACCTCCGGAAACATTGATTTGGGATTTACTTGGCTTGCCTCCCTTGGCACTTTTAGCCTTGTGAAGAGCTTTCTTCTTTCTTGCACTCCCTTTGGAGTTTACATGGCTTTTTGACTTCGATGTTCCAGTCTCTTCAACCTTGTCTCCCTCCTTTTTAACCTTAAAACCACCCCGAGCACCCTGCTTTGCAAGTCGGCCCTTATTCTGAGGCTTTGCAAGGTTAGCTTTGATCTGAGGCATGAAACAGAACTTCAAAACATGTAATTGAATATCCAGCAAAATTTATTTACCAAAATGTTAGCTCTGATCTGAAATGAGACTTAACATTATGTAATTTATGTTTAAATATAAAATAAATATTGATATTGAAAACATAATCACCTTGACATCTCCTTCCCCAATCTGGGCATTATTGATCCCTTCTATACAAGCTACAGCACTTTCTCGAGAAGTAAATGTAATAAATCCAAAATCTTTCCTCTTGGTAACAAGATCCCGAGATAACTGGACTTTCTCTATGTCACCATATTGCTTGCAGAGCTCCGTAACTTTCTCGTTGTCCCAAGAATCTGTCAGGCCTTCAACATATACAGTCTTCACCTACAAAAGGGAAAAGTGAAATTTTGCCCCCTGCATTTAATTGGTAAAAAAATTCTCTTTCAAAGAGCAACTGCACCTTATCCAGAATGTTTACTTTTAAGGCTGTATTTTCCATGTAAAAGATATGGAAAAGAAAGGTTTGGCTGTTAAAGGGCCTAAAGTATAACCATGAGTTTACAGATTGGACCCCCTTCCCCCTATCATGAAAAGAACATAGCCTAAAGCACAACTATTGTTTTCTATTTCTCAACGAAACCAAGCATATTGGGCCCAATTTTAATCTTTGGGCCGTTTTTTTCTTTAAGAGCATATTCTGCACCAAATATTTTCACAAGTCTACCAATATATAATCCAAGCATACATCATAAACTTTTAGCTTATGCCACATGATTGGCATATGTGCTATTTAATTGAAAACACAAAAACCTGGAGCTATGCCACAGGTGGCTCATTGTACAATTTAAAAAAAAAAATGTAATATTGAAAAACTTGCATCAGTCTTGCATTTCTATCTGATATAATGATATTTTCTGGATATCTGCATACACTAAGTGGTCTATATTTTAGAATCAGATGAAATAGTGTAGTGAGAATGGGCCAAATGGGCATTAACTTCTTTATTTCACTTAAATTATGTTATGTTTGTGTTCTTTTGGTTATTGGCCCTTAGTTATGGGCCTCTTTGTGTTCTTTTTATTATTTCTTTAGTGCTGGCCACCCCATTAAGGGCATTCCAGTGAATTGTATTCAGATTAAAACTAAAAGAATAAAAGATCTAATTGGGGGCTAGAGGATCAAACTCTTCTCTTATTTCTTCTTCTCTCATCTCCTTCCACATACTTCTGCAGAAACTTCTCTCTTTTCTTTCTTTTTCTTTTCTTTTCTATATTTTCTGAATTATTGCAGGTGTGTTTTACAACTCATAGCTTTGTTATAGGGCAAAAACCCGCCCATAGTGGCCAAAAGCAAAAGCATGTAAGTACCATATCAATATGACAAAAGTCCTGGGGCTGATAGAAGAAGAGATTGAAATCGATGAAAGGGATGATAAAGACCAAGAAGAAGATGAGAAGGTGGTTATTAATCAAGAGAAGAAGGTGGATGGGGAGTTAGATCTTGAAAAAAAAAAAAAATTGTTGAAACAGAGGTTCAAGTAAGCAAGACTTTAGGTCTACGATTTTTGCGAGGTGAGGAATTAGCATGAAAAACGTTTTTGGAATTGGAAAAGAATATGTCTATGCATTCTGTATAATTGATGTCTTCCTGGGAAGGTGATTAGATCGTGGGTGATGGATTAGAATGCTGATTGGGATGTCTGTCAAACGCTAGGGGGATTCTATTTTTGTAAAGGTTTGGGAAGGAGCTCAAAGCTGTTTATTTAAAAACATGTTTTGTGGGTGTTGAGTTTCTTCTTCTGTTTTCTTATGGGTGATATCTTATCACCTTTGGTTTTACTTCTGTCTTTATCTTGAATAAATTTTATTTTTTATTTATTACCGAAAAACACTTGGGATGCTTTTCTTGGGAGGAGAAGATCATGCTGAAGCCACATTTATCCAAATAAATAAATAAACAAACTGAGAGAAGAAAAAATCAAGTCATTTACAATGAGTGGGAGAAGGCAGCTTGTGATGGAGGAAGAAAAAAGCGACAGAAAGCACCAAGGAGACAATTGTGGCATTTTCATCAATAGGATTATAGGAGGTATGTCTGAAAGCCACAGAAGTCAAGGGAGAGGCAGAAAATGTTAGAAATAATCAATGCAGTAGGTTCTCAAGGACATAGGATTGGATAGGAATGTTGTTTTGGAGGGGTCTGGAGGTAGGGAGAAATTAGGGTTACCACATTTTGGGTGTTTTATATGCAATATATTTTCTATGAGCATGATTTCGTTTGGATGACGGGTGTTGTAGATTTTACACTTCATCTCGGTGTAAATTATTTTTGCTTCGGCCGCAAGTCCCCTCATGATTTTTTTTCTTTCTTAATAAAATTCTCTGTTACCATTAAAACATTTATAAGGGTTTTCAGATTTCATGAGATCCAAATCATCAGAAACAATAAAGGATGAAACTAATTTGGACAAAAAGCTGAGAACATTCAAATTTAGAATATGCCAAACCTGTGAAAGAGCTTCCTCACTGGGATGAATTGAAGACTGTGCAAATGCCACCTTGGCACTTCTGTCACGGCCAAAGACAGCATCCGGCTTTCTAAGCCGATGAAATGCCGCCATGGCATCAGAGTGGGTACTAAATTCCAGAAGAGCAAAACCTTTATTCTTCCCTTCATTCTTAGGATCATCAGGTAAATACGTCTCCACAATTTGTTCAACACCAAAGCTTTTCAATGTTTCAAGTACCTTGTACCCAGAAAAAAGCATAACAGCATTAGATCGTGAACAAAGGCAGGTGACAGTTGCATTGCCTGCAGTAACAATATAAAAAGAAAATTTAAACAGTTGCAGACTATAATAAGGGCTGCTGATATGGACTCATCAAATTACTTGCTTGCATTTTGACAGTATGCATGTGCAATTAAGAACAGCAAACCACAAAGAATAAAAGCTTACATGCTCTTTTGTCCAAGTCTTACAAATGTTACCCATGTAAAGTGTATCATTGTCCTGACTCTGGGATATACCAACACGCTTGCCCCTCACCTTTCAAGGAAAATAAGGACAACATAAGTAAAAGTGAAATTAGACAGATATTATAAAGAGAATGGGAGCTTCAAAGATCAAGGTGCAAAACCTCTGTCCCATCTTTCAACTCAGCCAGCGCCTTTTTGGCTTGCTCAACAGAGGCATATCGAATAAATGCAAAACCTTTGCTTTTCTTTGTAGTTGGATGTTTTACTATCCTTGCAGCTTGAATTTCCCCAAATTTCCCGAAAACTTCAATTAAATCTTCTTCAACTGCCTCCTTGTCCAACCCTCCCACAAAAATTTCAAACTCCTTATCTTTTTTCCTCTCTGTAAGAGGAGTTTGCATGTATAAAGAAGGATCATCTTCCTCTTCATTTTCCTCCTCATTTTCTTCTTCGTTGTCCTCTTCATTTTCCTCCTCATTTTCTTCTTCGTTGTCCTCTTCATTTTCCTCCTCATTTTCCTCCTCATCACTTCCAATCTTGTCATCCTCTCCATCCCTATTATCATTTCCATTGGTACCAGCAGTGTTATCTACATCCCCAACCAGTTTGATATCTTCAACTTCATCAGCTTCAGTCTCTTCAACTATAACCTGTTTGGCACCTGAAACAACCAAGCCATCAGCAATTCACAATCTTTCTCCCATTGCTAACAAGCAGATAAGCTTAGGTACCAATGATAAATACCAATATAAAACAACATCTAGGAACCTATAAGCTGATGCTGGCTAAAAAGCATAACAACAAAGTCCTTTCAATAGCATATAGACCTCGTTCTAGAACAGTTAAGTCTGCCAAACATCGCATAAACTGAGAAATCACTTCAAGACAACAAGACAGCAATTCAAGTAGCCACTCACAACCAGTTACGTAAATGGTGCAATCATTCCATTACTACTCTGTACTAGAGTACCTTAACGAATTTAAAAATCTCACAACAATTTCGAATCATTTCCCAATGGCAATAAAAAATCAATTCTCTAATGGGTATAGGCGAGAGGAAAAAAGATAAAACAACTGTATATTTGTGCAAAAACAGCACAAGCATGCAAACAAGAGAGGGGTTTTCAAGCTAGCTGCATCTTATAACACCCCCCCCCCCCAAAAGAAAAAATAGAAACAACATCAGCAACCAAGGGGACCCTAAAGCATATATCATGCATTTCAAACCAACAAAGGCACGTAGCCCAAGGAAGAAATGAAATAGGATTTGACAGTTTACTGATCTTTGCTAAGTCTAAAGCGGTGGAGATGTGGTTTATGCCCTGAAAGTGTGAGAAGGTGATAGGCTGAAAGGGGAAAAAGAGAAGAGAAACAGAGGTGGCTGGACCCCCAAGGGGGCTGCCTACATACCCTCTGGCGAGGGATCAGGCTGCTGTAGTTCGCCGGAGCTGGAATTCCGGCAGAGGTGAGGTGAAGGTGGTTGCAGGAGAGAGGAGAGGAAATAGGTGAGAAAAATGAGAGAAATAGGGGAAGGAGAGAGATAGAAAATGGGTCTCCAATGAGTAATGGGTTAAGAGTCCCAAAATCCCAAGAAAAAAAGTCATCCCAAAATGGGTATGGGACTCCTATTTATACATTTATAGAAGCTTGGGTCCCCATATTCCAAATTATTCTTAAGACTTTTATCTTTACTAGTTTACCCTTAATTATTCTGGAATGTCCTTTAACTGATTTGAGCACATGTTAAAGTTGGCTGATGTTATTCTAGAATATTCTATTTCTTCAATAGTGATGCTCTAACTTGGCATTCTAGAATGTTCCAGCACTTAGCACACCTTATGAAAACAGACCAGTCTGACCCAGGTTTAAGTTGGGTTGACCAGGTCAGTGGCATTTTATGACTCCATCGTCTTACAATAAGAAAACAGGGTCCTTTTTGTTCAAGGAAGACAGAACAATCAACAATCAAAGAGCAAAGAATGTATATTCTTGTTATGATAGGAGCAGCATTTCGCTGTATTTTGAGGTTTTGGTTGTAAACTTGTAATTTTCTGATTAAACACCATGCTTTACCTTTTCAAAAAAATATTATAAAGATTGCATGCTCATCCTGGAAGAGTTTTTGACTGAAAACTGAAAACCATATGTTAGTACTTTCAGATATGCTTTAAGAGAAAGCTTTGGAGGACATTGGTTTTCTAAAAAAATCGATGCAATGTTGCTAGAGATTAGACTTATGGAACCACTTCCTTCCTCCTTTTGGCTTATTGTGAACTCCTCTTAATGAAACTAAAGATACATTTGGACCGGCTCCAACTCCTCCCACAAAAAGAGGAAAGTTCCTTTTGCAACTTTACAAGAGCTGCAATTTTTTGGAGTGTCTATAGGATTTAGAATTTTCAATAATAGGAGAAATGATATCAACATTATTATTGATGATCTCTATTCAAATGGCTCATTGGATGCTTACAAAAGAATTGCATGATGTATGCATTTGCGGATGCAATCATTCAGTCGCTAGTTCTGCACCACCTGGACAGCTGGTGCATTAGGAATAGGAACCACCACTATCTATCCATCTGTCAGAATTTTTCTAGTCCTGACCCTATTTCACTTACAGTCTTTGGCATATTCGCCATTTTGTTCTTTCCCTACACCAACAGGACGAATAGCAAATGAATTCCCTCTGCTCATTGAAGTCTGTAGCAGTGTGATTGGCACTGATCCCAGAAAGATCCATCTGGGCCAACCTATTACCAACTATGAATTAGTTGAGCAGCAGATTCCAGATCCTTCTAATACTCACATAATACCAGACTTCGAAAGAATGGGCCCTCCGGTCGATAGCAAGTCTAGGTCAGCTAGTATATCTTCTAGCAGGTGCAGCTCAATCTGGACCAAGGGATGGACTATGCAATATAGAATCAGTTAAGTGGAAAAAAGCTAGCTACACTTAGTGGCAGTGGCAGGGGGGAGCTTATTTGGTAGGTATCAAGTTAAACTTAGAGGGCTGCTCCATGGGCAACCCAGGCCCTTTTGGTGTGAGTGGTGTCTATAGAAGAACAAATAGGGGTGTCATTTTACAATATTCAAGACCTATAGATGAAGGTAATGTAATAACGGAATAGCTGATCTCTATTCTTCCAGAGAGTGTTGTCAATGCAGTAAGATAATAACTAGCCATCTTGGTCTCCCTACTCAATGTCATCACTGATGACTGGTTAGTGCCTGGGTGCTGACTACTCATCAAAAAAAAAAAATTCAAAATTTAATATAATGATGCAATCTCATATATAAGGGAAAAAACATTGCAACTGCAATTAAATTATCATTTAAAACAGTTAGTATATAGTCTAGTTTTGTAAGCAAATAAGGGAAATTTGTAATGGTATATACTCACCGGTCACCGCTTAGCAATCATTTAGCATTTGCATTTTTTTAGAAAGAGTGTGTGCAAGTGCAACCCAGACATTGATCAAAAGAAGACCTAAAAATTACTATCTTTTCTTTTAATTCACGAATCATTTCTACTTTATATACCCTCAACTTATACTTAAAGTATGACAGATAGCATTAATATTGGCAAAAAATCTAGAAGACGTTGAAGCCATTACATGGTGAATGAGTTAGCAGTTAGCACCATGAAGAAAATATGTGTGTATACAAAATACTTTATATGTCAAAGTTAGAATCATAATTTATGTGCTCCAATCAACAGAACTCTTTGTGGATAAAAACCCAGAAAACCTGCTGCCACTCAATTCTCCCAATCACCATCAAGGTTGGGCATGTTTAACACCTGTTCTGTTCCTTCCACTAATTCCAGCAAATTGAGAAAGGGCTCAGATTCCCCATGGTCTTGGACTGAAACAAATACCTGGCCATGAGGATATTAGAATAGGAAGATCCTTAGGTAATACCCAACTTCTCTTGAAAAAATCATCAGAAAGTGTTCACACCACAAGAAAGAAAGCACAATGGTGTGGTAAATAGGGCACGGTCATTTTGTTCCCCAAACAATGAGCATCCAATGTCCAAAGACTTACCACAGTTGATTATTACAATTTTGTCCTGCATTCCTGTCCACATAAAGAATCAAACCTTTGATGGGAAATTAGTTTCCCACAGCCAACACCAAGGAAATAAGGAATCCAGCAGACCTATTAATGCATTAAGAATGATTTAACCAAGAAAAAACCTTCTGAAATTGTTTTCCATATTCTTCTGTCCTCACCCACACGCAAGGGCATTTCTATGCATCCAGACAAAGAACTCAGCAAATACATCTGCTTCCAAATGGTTCATGTGACACAAAACCAAGGTACCCTCAAGGATCTCCCACTACTTTATGCATTCCGGGATAGAGGCCCCTGGGGCTTTGGATAGTCTGAGTAATATCATAGATCCTGAATCTATGGATATGTACTAACAGAAAATATCATGTGAAACATATACTTGACCTATAAGATGTTTGAGGCAAGAAAGATTTACAACCAAAAGCTGCCCTTTCGTATTTTAGCAGCCATCACCTCCCTCCATAATTAATTTGTTCTTTACTATAATTCTACGGTCACTAACCAAGTAATGCTGTATTCATGTGGGGGTAGGGGTGGAAAGGGATGTCAGTCATAATTGGGTGGATGCAATCAGCTGCAGATGGCCCTTGGGTCTATACTCCATAGGCAACAGCATTTAGGATATAAGATCCATGGCGTAGAGAATGGATAGTTCATTCAACTGGATTCCAGAGTTGAGCAGACTGCAGAGAGTTTTTTTTTTTAAAATATGAATAGACTACTGCAAAGAGTCTCTTTTGGGATGTTATAGATTTGGGCCATTGATTTCACCACTCTTTCTACTGCTATTATATGATATGTAGTGGTCAGTGCTGCACACTTTTTGTATTATCCCCCTTTCATTACTTTAATGAGAGGGGCCACTCTACTAGTTCATTATATAAATAGAATACCTTTGAGTGTTACTGATTGAAAAAAAAAAATTAAACTGATATCAATATGAAATACTAAAAGCAAAGCTAAATTCAAGGCATAATAATGATGAAGTTGATGAATAGGGGGGGACAAGGGAGGAAGAAGGGGGGAAGGAGACAATAGAGGATCCCGAGGCAAGTGAATGTCCAGGTAGAGAGAACATTGGGGAAAGGGAGGGCACTGATCAACTAGTTGAGAGACAGGTGGTGGTGGGAAAGTATCTTGAAAGGATGGCAATTTTCCCCAGCCCCACCGGGTACCCGACTTCCCCGACCGGCCGACCAGATGGGGTCGAGGATGGGGATTGCTTTGGTGGGGTGGGAATGGAGATGTGATTAATAGGGATCCCTGATCAAGGTCGGGGTCAGATTTAGGGAATGAAGTCCCCGCCCCACCCCAACCTCGATTACATATATAAAGAAAATTTTTTATTTTAAGTAAATTTATTCTTCAAAAATACTATTAATTAAAAAATTTCAGGGATTCAAGGGTAGAGGGTTGAGAGAGGGAAGGACTCTATGTAGAATGGACTGAGAAAACATAACCGAGATGTAATGTTGTTCTAGGAAACAAAGCTAGAATCCTATGTTCGAAGACAAGACTTTGAGTTTGGATAGGTTGATGGCAGCTATTGACAAGTCTATATCAGATTAGGTTTTGGTGCTTTTAT